ACCTTGACAGTAAGCAAGTAAGAGAGCTCTTGGAGGAATATGGAATTAATAAAAAACTGGCGGCAGTAAGTCACCCACAGGCCAATGGACAGGCGGAAATTACAAATAGAACAATCTTTACTTGTATCAAGAAGAAGCTAGAAGAAAAGAAAGGAAGGTGGTTAGATGAACTGCCGAACGTCCTATGGGCCTACAGAACGACCCCTAGACGACTGACCGGAGAAAGCCCATTCACCATGGCGTATGGTACCGAGGCAGTTATACCAGTCGAGCACTTAGTTCCGACTGTTCGAAGCTTGGCATGGAACCGTGAGCATAATGACAGTATGTTAAGGTTTAACCTCGATTTGCTGGAAGAAAAAAGAGATGCAGCAGTGGTAAGGCTCGCATCCTACCAGCAGACACTTGCGAACAGCTATAACAAGAAAGTAAAGCACAGAGACTTTAGGCCAGGTGATCTGGTTCTGAAAAAGAAGGTGGGGATAGTCAAAAAGATGATGCCACCATGGGAAGGCCCATACAGAATTGCAGAAGCCATAGGAAAGGGGGCATATACCTTAGAAACCATGGCCGGAAGGCTGGTTAACAAGCCTTGGAATGCTACTTCTCTGAAGAGGTATTATCAATAAAAAGTTGAGATTCAATACTGAATTTTGTTCATTTTCAATTGAACACAGTCGAATGTACAAGTTTCTGAGATTTATAAAGATTATACTCCTCTTTAAAAGGTTGAGCAAAGTAAGTGGCAGCTGGCACTATGAGCCGAACGCCAAACAAAGAGGGCCAAGTGGCAAGTGGCATTCTAGCCGAGCGCCAGGCGCTTGAGCAAAATAAGTGGCAGCTGGCACTATGAGCCGAACGCCAAACACTTGCTAAGAAAAAAAAAAAGAGGGCCAAGTGGCAAGTGGCATTCTAGCCGAGCGCCAGGTGCCTGAGCAAAGTAAGTGGTAGCTGGCACTATGAGCCGAACGCCAAACATTTGCTAAAAAAAAAAAAAAGAGAAAGAAGAGAGGGCCAAGTGGCGCCAAGTGGCAAGTGGCATTCTAGCCGAGCGTCAGGCGCCTGAGCAAAGTAAGTGGCAGCTGGCATTATGAGCCGAACGCCAAACACTTGCTAAGAACAAAAAAAAAAAAAAAAAAGAGTTTACATAAAGAGCTTGATCAGAAGTCGGCCATCTCATTAATAAAGTTTAAAGAGTTACAAAAAAGATAAGGTGTAAAGATGGCAAATATACCAAAGTCAGTACATTAAAAAAAAAAAAAAAAAGAAGAGTTCTAACTAAGAAGCGTTTGCCTCGTCAGCCTCTTGATGATGCTCAGCTGTCTCCTCATTATTGTTGGTATCACCATCCTCACGAGGTGGAGAGTCGAGGTGAATGACAGAATCGTTCTGTTGAGTCCTACCCTCAATAGCGTTGGAAGAATCATTCTGCTGAGGGTTATCTTCAGCAGTAATAACAGATGGAGTCAAGGTGGACAGAGGAAGAATGTCCAAAGTCAGAGCAGCAGAAGGAGTAGGAGTGATCCGAGAAGAGGCAATCTCTTGGCATTCATCAAATATGCCCTCGGCAGCGGTAGAGTCTGGATCGGCATAAACACCACGAGGGTCAATATCCAGTTCCTTGTCAACATTATCAGGGGTAGAACCGGTCTGACCCTCATCCAGAACACGATCGGCATAACCCTCTCGGAACCCCTGAGCATATCTGAGGGCTCCAACTCTAGAAAACCGAACATGCAGAGCTAGCATACCACCGTTTACCCTACTGATGGTATCGAGTAAAGCGTTGCGCTCGTCCAAGGCCCTTTTCTCAAAGGCCATCCGAGCGGATTGCTCATCACTCAGAAGGCGTAGCAGCTCTTCCTTTTCAGCCTTAAGAGATTCCCGCTCGGTATGCCAGACACTCTTTTCGAGCTGCAATGCATTCCTCTCATCCTGAAGAAAGTCAGTCTCCTTCCTCAGCGAATCCCTCTCCTTTTCAATCTTACCAAGATGAACCATCAACCCGGTCTTCTGAGCAGCCAAATCATCGTTCTCCTTGTTCGCTGCATTAAGGCTGTCAGAAAGCGCACGGACCTTGGCATTCACATGCTCAACTTGTTTCTGCATAGCCATCATCCCATACAGGGTCTGTAGAGATATACAGGACAACTGATTAAGCCGAGCAGATGGTTAGAAGAAAATAAATGTAAAGAGTGTGTAAAGACTTATTGACTAAGAGGCAGAAGTTACCTCCATGGCAGATTAGGGAAATCGGCTGAACACTTCCCTCTGAGACAGACATTTGGCTACGTCAATGTCCTTGGGAGTCCACATGCTCCTGTAGTAAGCCATTGCGGTTTGACCATCTTTGAACATGGTCTCGGTCGGTTTAACAGACGATCCGTCTGTTCGAATAAAGCGAGGGTTCCATGGCGCCGTTCCTGAAGCGGAGGCATGCCCAGAAGGGGTAGGGGGCCTAGTCTGAGGAGGTCTCGCTAGGGATATCACATTCAGCCCAGAGGGCCTAACCCTCTGAGACAAAGGAACATCATCGATGCTGAGGGTACTATCAGGTTGGTGCCTTTTTCCTCTTGCCTTTTCCCGTGCGGAAGCAGTAGTAGAACCAGGAGGATTGCTGACAGAAAGGGTAACGTTCGGACTGGCGGTCGCTGTGTTAGCGACCGGGTCAGCAGCCGTCACGGATGGATCGGTGGAAGGAGTGGTATCAAAAAGGGTAGCAGAGGAAGATGCTGAAGCTGGTGAAGAATTTGATGCAGGGGTGATAGTAGGCCTGGGGGCAGTTTTCTTCTTGCCGAAGGAAGGGATCTGGAGTTGGCTCATTGTCTTACCGAGGACTGAGATATCGAGGAGATTGTCTGAGGTGAGGAGGTCCGAGCAGGAGGAAACGTTGGTTAGAACGTACTGCTTTAGGTAGTTATCCCTATCCCTGCACACACCGTAGCTCAAATCATCACAAAGAATGCCTAAGGAATGGCACAAGAAAGTACAAAAACGAGGAATGCAAATCTCGCAAGGACAGTCACTCTTATGGTTTTTATATTTCTTGTAAAAAGAGACAGAGCACTCTCCAAAAGTGCTCGGGATAGGGAAATCCTCCGCAGCTGGAGAGAACCAGGCTCCCCTAACCCCAATTATATTTTTCCTCCAACCCTTCTCGGATTTGATTTTATCCGTGCAGATGGACCTCTTCTCAATGGAGAAAAAGTAGTAAAATGGTTCATCAGTTCTGATCTTGCTAACCTTGTAACAGAGGAGAAGATCTACGAGGTCCAGATCCATACCTCTGTCACGAATCAGGAGTAGCATAACAAACAAAATCCTAAGGAAATTTGGGTTTACTTGCAAAGGGGAAAGATTTAGCTTGTTGAAAACATAGCAAAAGAAGGGATGCAAAGGAAACCTAAGGAGATTAAGATGGAGGAGTGAAAACAGGACCTCGCCGGGAAGAAGGCCAGCACCGGTTCTAATATTCACCTCTCGGGGGTAATTTCTAATTTCTACATCGTCAGGGAGGTGAAGTTTCATGCGAAGAACGTCTAGATCTACTGTCATGGTGAGAATGAATGAAGATTTCGAGGAGGAGAAAGAAGTCTTCCAAAAAAAAAATGCAAATGAAACTAACCTCAGAGAGTGATAACGGCAAAAAGTACTGCAAGGCCACTGGAAGGAGGATCTTTTGCAAGAGATCGCCGGAGAGGAATCGAACAACAGAAAGTGAGGTGGAGACGGTAAAGAGGATCGATGGAACATCTATGAAGCTTATAAAGACAAGGTGAGCCCAAGGGCCGAGAAGTCAGGAAAGCGATGAGTTTTTTGAATCTCGAAACGCCGACTCCTAAATCTAACCGTCCATTCTCCCACGGGATCTTCTCGAGCCGTCAGGTTATCATTAGCAGCCTCTAATAATTACCCCCTAATCAATAAGGGGTAATTATGGGGGCAGTTGAGGATGCAGCAAGTGGCATGGGCCGGATATAGTTCGTTGGAACGGGATCGGGTCGAACAATTGAAGTAGGGCCCATGCCAAAGCACCCCGGAATGGGCCGAACCTGGGGGATCCACCGAGGAAGATCAAGCCCATTGGAAGATCAAGCCCAGAAGGAAGAAAACTTTTGAATATAGGCCCAATGTAATCAGTTAACAATAATAATTGTAATGGCCTATAAATAGACCATTACAGGTGGATAAGAGGGGGGAAATTTTTTGGAAGAATTCTAGAGAGAGAAAGAGAAAGAAGAAACGAATTCTTGCATCTTCAGTAACTTATTAATTTTTCACCAATATATTGTATGAAAAAAAATGTATTTTTTATGGTAAAAAAGTTTAAAGTGAGTATAATAAGTTTTATTATAAATAGTATAAATTTTAATAATAAGTTAATCCTTTTAAAAAATAGTAGTTACAAATATTTTTTTTTATTTTATGATAAATTGATACTAAAAATAAAATTAAGATAAATGTTATAATTTATTTTCATATAAGAGAAAAGATAATAAAAATAATTTAATAAGAAATGACAAATATAATGAGAAAGGGTAAAAAGGTCTTTTACAATGTGTTTGTCCTTAATTGTAACCTATCAATAAATCAGATGGACAATTTGTAATTTAGGGGTTTATTTGCATTCAAGGGGGATTATTTGCAGTTTATCCTGTAAAATTCGTTAACAATGTGTAGCTATACACAAAACGGGATGGGATTTCTTTACCCTTTTCCATTATAGTATTGTAAAACCACTGTTTAGCTGTAGAAATGAAGAGGGGAAAGGAAAAGAAAAAGGAATATGGAAAGAAAAGACAGAGAAATCCACCCATTAAAAAAATAAAAAAAGATAAAATGAAAAGTTCTCCAGTAGCTGTGTTCCTTTCCCTCATATATGGTTTCAGTTCAAAGAACCAAACACAAACCAACGAAAAACACAACTCTCTCTCTCTCTATATATATATATGATATTCGTATAAATTAATCAGATAAATAATTTGAGAAATATATAATACCATAGTTGTGGATGGATTTAAGGATGTAGGGCATGACACGGTGGACGATATCGTCGGAGAGATTGATGGGCTTGGACTTAGCTTCTTTGATCATCTCCGACATCTCTTTCAGGTCTCCAAACAATAGTCTGTAGGAGTTGCCACTCAGACCTTGCTGTCTCAGCCACTTCTCTAGCTTCCTTGGCCTCAACCACACCCAATTCAATACCCTCCATGCCAATATTACTACAACAACAACAACAAAAACGCAGCAAAGAACAATTATCCCAATTTCCATTTTTTGCATTTAGCAGCTTCTCATAGGCATTTTTTTTTCCTGGCAACAACAACACAGCTAACAACGAAGCCAACAAACCCAGAACCCAACAAAGGGATCAATCATGAAACCCCACAACATCACCCAAGGCCAAAGCAGCAACCAGAGGAGGAAAAGTGTCCAACACGCGATCAAAATCCAAAATATCACACGAAAGCTTAGCAAGGGCATGAGCCACCCGATTGCCGAATATGAGAAAACAAAATTTTTTGTAATGCTTGGGTCAGATGTGCATGAGATAAGGAGGTGGGTTCCACTTTCTTCACAAGTTAAAAGGTAGGTGTAAGGGGTCACTATGAAACACCACATGGAATAACCTCTTTTTACACTAAGGAATCGTGTACCGCTAACCTTTTTTTGTTTTTTTGTGTTCGTCCAGAGACATTAGGATCAACAAAATTTTTTGTAATGCTTGGGTCAGATGTGCAAGAGACAAGGAGGTGGGTTCCACTTTCTTCACAAGTTAAAAGATAGGTGTAAGGGGTCACTATGAAACACCACATGGAATAACCTCTTTTTACACTAAGGAATCGTGTACCTATAACCTTTTTTTGTTTTTTTGTGTTCGTCCAGAGACATTAGGATCGTGTACCAGTAACTTGTTTGTTCGAGTTTGAGCCCAAAGACGTTGGGTCCCTAGGGGGGTTCAGGTTTCGATTACAAATATCTGTACTATAAGACCATGTTATGGAGTGGGGTCATCACAAACACTATTCGAAAGATTAGTTATTAGGTAACATTGTACATTCAATCATATTTATTAATTAATTTTTTTTTATTAAGATACATGCAGGATGAGACCTTCTAACATTCTTTTTTATTTGGACTCGTAATGCTCTCGTTACAGTCAAATTAAGTTATACTGTTTTTAGTTTGGCTTCTCTGATCTCTCCCTTCGCTTCACACGCCCTCACTCCCTGCCCCTCGTTCTACAGCAGGTAAACAATATCTCCTCCTGGTGCATACGGCCACCTATATAAATACAGACATTCTTTCTTCTTAGAGAAAAATAATTTAAAACTTAGATCATATAATTTTCTATTGAATTGTATATTTTTATTTTATTTGTAATTCGAGTACTTAGCATTGTGGATATATATGATTCTTATGTGTGCTCATTGGACATAAACTTCAATTTTTGCGCTTAATTTTGAAGATTTTGTTGGTTCTTTTCATACATTAGCACTTTCTTCCTCTTTGAGAACATTGTGATTCCGTTAAATAAAAATAAAAAATAAAAATTTATTTTTTAAAATTTATTACGCAACAAAACCTATAGAATGAACATTTCATTCCTAAGTAAAAAAATTTTAAAATATCAAGTTTCCAAAAAAACCCTTATATTCCAACTTTTATCATTTTTGAAACTCAAACTAATGGTCTACTAGATATAAAATAAAATGACTATCATGAGTGCGGAAAGGTACTTGGGTTACTTCAAAGTAGGTTGACCCAAATTGGAAATGAACCAGCAACTTCAAGTGCCAACATAACCTCGATCAATCTCGTAGTGAAACAACACTACAAATATGAGCATAATACACAAATTCATCGTCCAAAATCTTTTTTAACACTAAGAATTGAATATGTTGAAAATGTTGTGTGCTAGAATTTTATTTGACTTTTTGTGCACGTCAGTCTAATATAAAAACTGAAGCCCAAATTTCCCGCCATACTTAAATGTTATAAAAATCTTCGTTCACCATTAAAAACCTTTCGTTCTTCATTACATAGTCAAGATTGAGGAAAAATTCAATAAAGAATAACCAACAAGTTGGTTCAGAAGCGGAACAGATTAACAAAATAAATAAATAAATAAAAATCTCCATTCTATACAGTGTTACTGCTAGTAGTTTTTAAAACATCTTAGATCTGTGTGTGTGGTGGGGGGTGGGGAGAGATTGGGGAAGAGAAACATTTTTCTTTTACAAGGAGGTAAGAGAGAGGAGGACAAGATATTAAGTGAAGCAAACGGGCCTTATTATTGGTACGCCAATCAATAAAAAATAATCGTACAGTGAAATAGGTCCCATAAGTTGAAAAAAAAAAAATCAACTCAAATTACTCTCATAAACTGATTTGTTACCATTTAATTGATTTGGTATATTTTAAGTCACACAATTCTTTTAAATTGGTATTGTTCTCATCTTTTTTGTGCTCTCTCATTTAATTTTTCATTGCTCATGATTTAATTTCGTCGCTCTCAAACTTTCGTTCTCGAATTCACTTTTACTCCGCCCTTTGTTTTATGTTATTTAAAGTATACCAATAACCACTGACCATAGAATTGATTAGAAAGAAATTCTTAAGTGATCTGGTACGCAGCATCATTTATGGTCCGGACAATGACATAGTAACATTGCTTAATATAAAAATAATTAAATATTAAAGGTGCAGGAAGATCATTTTAACACCGTCATTTTTGACCTCGTAAAAGGTGGACTGAAAATCTTCTCTCCTTCAATTTGTGTGTGTGAAAACAAAAGCTTTGGGTCTCTTTTCTACATCCTTCCTCTTTTTACGAAATCCAGATTCACAAAATCAAAGGAATTCTTCGAACTTTAAATTGTCTATCTTGTTGGCGATAATCTATGGCAGAGAAAAAGCCATTGAAAATCGTCTCTATTGACACTGTTGCATAAAAGCAAGTCTATTTTCCTGGGCACCAAACACCCCCTTAAATGTCCTTAAAATAAATGAAAAATTCATGAGAGCATGTCCAGAAGATTTGGGATCTGATTATTGCAAGGGCCAAGAAAAAAACATTAGCAAAATATATTTGATTCTAGGTCTATTAAATGGAATAAAAATTTGAAAAGCTTTGATGCGTAGTGTTTTTCTTTTTTTCTGAAATCCACTTGCCCTCTTAAACTGGGTTTGGTAGATTCTCCAAATTTCATCTCTGTTCTGGAACATATTTGTGTTTTCTGCCATTTATATTGACCTTTTTTTTTTTTTTTTTGGGTTTCTTGGGTTCTCCATGCAAGGTATATATTTTGTAATTGGCTAATTTTGATATCAAAACAAGTTCGATCGAGTTGTAATTTTCAAGTTTCAAAATCAAGATCGAGATTGACTACGGAATTGAAGAGTTGTTTAAGTTTGATAAACTGAAATTTACGAAAAATGTATGAAGAACATTTTAGAAGTTGAATCCCACTAAAGACATTATACGTACATGGTTTTCTCTCAAAGTTTCCAAAACAGAATTTTTCCAAATTGTTTAAACCTTTCCTTTCAATTCTGCCAATTGAGAACTGGTGCCAACCTTTTTTACCGGTTCAGGAACCTTAGCTTCAAATAACAACATTCTGTCCTTTGGGAACAGGTTCCACTTCTGGCTACCGGGTCATGAAGTCTGATACAGTTTAAGTGATTTGTTTCCTGTTCAGTCTAAACTTCCTATTTGGTATAGACTTCTTTCCAAAACATCTATGCACGAAATTTAGCTTTTTCCTATGCATATCTAGATCTTTGAAAGTGTATATAAACCTTGATTTACATGTACATTGATACGGCTTTTACATTAAAACTTCTAATTCTTTAAAAGTCTATTTGAGAGATATTTTGCAGAAAATCAAATATAGTTTTTTTGTTTTTATTTCTTAAACACGCACATAAACACAAGAGTGATTTTAGGGTATTGTTCAATTCCTAATCGTGTTCAAAGTCTATTGAATATTGCAACTACAACGATCAAAAGAGTATATGTATTTCTTCTACATCAAATTCAGATCTTGAAGAACATGGGTGAAACGATCACACTTTGGAAAGGTCAAAGCATTTGAGGAATGTAATCTGATCTACCAGCAATCCTTCTATAGAAATCAAAAGTAAGCCTGAGATCAAGAGCTGTTGGACGGGACGTCGCAAAGTCAGAGGATTGCCAGCAATTGGTTTTTGGTAAAACGATAGGGTGTGAGCCTAAGTCAAAGTTTATTGTACTGTGTTCCATACATAGTGGATCGTTTTGCTCTGGACTACACAGTCCATGAGGTTTTTCTCATAACAATTGGTCTATTCTACCAAATAGGATTTACTCGCTAAAAAACCTGGTGTCATCTCTTAAACTCTATTTGCTTTACTTTACTTTTATCTTACATGTGATTAATTGATTAAATGGCAAATTAAGTAAAGCTTAATAAAATAGAAAGACACAGTTTTTATTTTAAAACTTAAACTTTCCACAATTATCTTCCACTGCACAACTCACACTCCAAAAACAAGGAAACAGATTGGAAAGACACAAAACAAGCAACCCTAACTGAGAGAAAAGAAGAAAAATAGATAATACAAGTGTGAATTGAATAGGTAAGGCGAAGAGAGATTGAATAGTGGTTTCTCCTCTAAAACGAGGTAGAGAGAGAAAGTGACGGAGATGTTGACGGTGTTAAAATGAAAGCATCAAGTTTGATGCATTGTTCGTAGTCGCGGTATTGCTCGCAGTTGTAATATAACGGATTTGGAGTCGTGGTATGCTCACGGTCATAGTATAACGGATTTGGATCGTTCACGGTCGTGGTATCGTTCGCGGTCGTAGTGTAACGAATTTGAGTGAATATCGGTATAAACAGACCGAAATGGCCAGTTCATGCATAGGTGCAACAATATCGGACTATTGGAAAAGGATTACAAACATGCCAATACGTCGCGTATCAGCCAATACGGCTAACTATGATTTGATGTTGTGGAAACTTATTTAAAAATAAGCTAATATGGGAATTCAGGATTGGTTGGGACCATAAATTAGGTGGCGGGTACTAAACCACAAAATAATTTCTCTAATGTGAAAATCATGTTTAAAGAAAAGCTGATAATAAATATGTCAATTGAAGATTGGTCCGGACCACAACTGAGGTGATAATCTCAGGACCATCTAATAATTTCTCCACATGCATGGGCTAAGGTCGAAAGCAGACCATAAAAATAATAAAATAATTTGAATGTGTCTAGTAAATGCTTTATGATTTTAGTAAATATTATTTTCTATCATTATTTTTGACTAAATATGTTTAACTAATCTTTGTAAATAATTCATACAATTTTAACTATATTGCATAAAAATTCACGGATGCATATATATATATATATAAATACATGCTCCAACAATTAAACTGTTAGAAACAAGAAAGAGTATAGAACTCTGTACTGTATTAATGTGTAAGATATGTAATACAAGAGTACATGGGGGTTTATATAGGAGAAGTCATGTGTGGAGAGCAA